ATTTTATTGAAGACAAATACAGCCCATGTACTAATGTAGACAATGGTTTCCCCTGCCCTTTTCTTTTTAAAGACAAGAAACCAATTCCCAGGAATAATTATTTCTCTTCTTTTATTGTTGGGAAGATACATGTTGGAGGTTAGCAATTTATTTAGCTTTTGTTATACAGAGAGCCGCAACCATGTAGACAATCATGTATACATACAAACACATACTTGATTCTCATATTTGACTTTGTTAAAATATCTGCAACATGGGGGGTTAAGGGGGTAGGAGAAGAGTAAATGAAACAAGATGGGATTGGGAGGGAGACAAACCATAAATGACTCTTAATCTCACAAAACAAACTGAGGGTTGTTGGGGGGAGAGGGTTGGGAGGGGGGATGGGATTATGGACATTGGGGAGGGTATGTGCTAATGGTGAGTGTTGTGAAGTGTGTAAACCTGGCGATTCACAGACCTGTACCCCTGGGGATAAAAATATATTATATGTTTATAATAAATAAAATTTAAAAAAATATCTGTAGCATCTACATACTTGCTCTTTTCACATCCAACTGCTTCCAAAATCTCACCCCCTTCACAATCTCTTAATTTTCTATTGCTCTGATCAGGTGATGGGGATGAAACTTTTACCTCCACCCATAAAATATTATTATTATTGAACCCACAAATTCTTATTACGGGAGAGAAAGCCATTGCTATGAAGGTCTAAGAGAAACAGAGGTCAAAGCTGCTTTTCCTACAAAGACTTTGGTTGGTAATGGGATGGCAGCAACCTCAATACAAAGAAAGTCCTAGGCAAAGGCACCAACATCCCCTGAATTTTAATGAAAATTTTATGTTAATGATATAACAAGGTTGATAAAGAGGACCTCATAAAAGCCAACTAGGCCTTAGTTATATTTTAAGAAAGAGAAAACAGTCACTAAAAGAAACAAGCCTTGTAAACATGTGTAAAATATATGTATCAGTAATACATAGTAAAAATATTGATGAATAGTAACAGATGTCTATATCTACAAATTTATGTAAGTATGTCCTAAAGCATCTGCTTTTATGGCCTCATTAAAAACTTTAGAATGCACTGCTAGTTGGTTGCTGTGTACTTTAATGAGAACAGCTATAACTTTTTGATCAATTAAAATCATATAGGATATTGGAAGAGAAAGACTTTGGCTGGTATGAACAGAAAGAGAGCCAACAGATTTAAGACTATATGTTTTGTGGTTGTAGACACATCTCTATAAAATCAGTATTATTTATAAAGAGAGATATGCCTATGGGCATACAAAGAACATGTAGCATATTTCATTCACAACACTCACATGTGCATTGTGCACTGTGCAGCTGTAAATAATTAGGCAATCTAAAAGATGATACATTACATGTGATAATCTTTACCTATTGAAGTGATTTAATGATTTGCTTTGTTTACCAAGAAACATTTTAGAATATGAATTGAGAAGGGATTTACTATAGGAAAGTTATAGCTAAATGTCTTGTTATTGCTTGATATGCGTCTGCTAAAACAAAAAGTTGGATAAGTCTTGTGTGTACATACAAAGCCTTAAAACAAACTGCTTCTGATTTAGTAAATTACTCCTCAGCTATCACTAAAGGTAACTGTCCCTTTTTTTATGGAGGGTCTTGTGACAAAACAACAGAGGTAAAATAGTAAATAGGAGTGGAAAGAAGAATAATAAATTAAACTTCTCCTCCAAATGTCTCTAATGATTTTTTCTTCCACCCTAAGTCATATAGGAAGGAACAGAATTCAGCTTTACTGGGCAACACTAAATGGACAACAGTTTATCAGAGTTTCTGGGGCCAGGGGAGCCTTAAGAAGGACAGAACTTTTTACATTTAGTCATCTTTCCATCCTTCATCAGGTGAATGAGGGCTCATCTACCAGAAGGGTACTGGTCTCTAACCAGAAGAGGAGTGGTTGCAGGGAAGCAAGAGGAAAACCTTAGCAAAGGTCTGGGTCCTAAGTTTCAGGAGGGGCAGTTTTAGAGACAGGTCTGTCTGCTGGACTAGAGACAGACACACTCCTTTCAGATAACATTAATAATATTACACTTCCTGAAATAATACCTGATCCTGCCAGGTTTCCCCACTCTATTTCCCACCATTTAGGGTGTGTTTTGCATGAGCCTGGGCAAGTGCACCATAACAGGCCCCGCTGTGTGTGTGAGTGTATGAAAGGCCAAAAGTCAGAGGGAGAGAATCAAGAATCAAAACAATGACTAATGATTTCTAACCTGAAGCAGAACAGATGCGCTGCTTACCAGAAATGTGCCTCTATTTAAATGTTTCACTTCACACACCACACAATTAAAAAAAAAGGAGGAAAGAAAATAAAAACAATATTTTTTTGGAAAAATGTTTTATTTTAAATCTTTTACAACAATAAAATATTGTGTCAATATAAACCCCTTGACTAAAACTTCACATCAAACATTACAGCGAATTGTTTTCTTTTTGACACCCAACTCATCTTTGAGTTTTCTTTAAAACATAATGCAGAATGTATTGAAAATAAATAATTGCTGGCAACTGCAATAGGCATTTGAATAAAATAGTTGAAAAAGCAACTCTTAATGAAAATAGTGTTTATTATACATCAGTTACTAAATGAATAAACTAAATGATCTTTCTTTAAATTAATAACTTCAAAAACGTTTAATATACAAAACTGTACAATTATAAAGTCGGCAGAAATATTTGGGTTAACTCAGGTTTGAACCATAGTACTTAACTACAAAAGGGGAAAAATCAAAACAAACAAACAAACAAAAAACCCCTAACAGTTGTAAAACACAAACTCAGTGTGGAAAGACAAAACAAACAAAAAATTTCCAGAACTAAAATCCAACTACCAACAGAATGCAGACTTCTGATAAAAAAAGAAAAAGGGTCCAGGATTTGAATTAACACATGTCCTTCAACCTGCAGCTGGGGGAGACACAGTGTGGTGGACCAGAAGCCTGGCAGCCCATACTAGCGTATCTTCCACAAGGGCCCCTAAGCATTTTGGTCCTTAGGTAGTTTGAAGCTTTGTCTACTGAAGCTGCACCTGAAGGTGCAGCCGACCCAGGCATGCGGAGACCCCAGCCATGTCTGGCGGGCTGCGTCTGGGTGTTGGGTGCTTGGCCTGCCCTGCACATGTGTGCTCATTGAGAATAAGGTGCTCCTGTGGACTTGGCGTGTAGACTTGAGAGCGAGCAATAAAGCCACAGCAACTGCATATTTTTTTGGATCTCTACACAGCCTGGGGAGATTTTATGTAATTTTTTTTTTGTAAATAGTAATACGATACACACAGCTATCTACACACACACGTTTGCACTCGCGCTCACGCACACACGCATACACACAGGAAGAGAGATAAAAATCAAAATAAAAAACAAGAACACCCAGAAACCCAGACTCCGGGGCTCTCGCTACCTAGCTTAATCTTCGCTGTGGGCTTCTAACAGCTGTGCTTGTCAGAGGCGTGGACCCGTGAGCCCACTTAGAGACAGCGATATGTATATACGGGAGAAGAGGTGGTAACGAAGCTAGAGCAGAATCCTTGTGACCTTTGCCAACCATTTCATTGTCGTTCTGCCCGGAGCAGAGAGCACCTGTCTACCACCCTACTAGCCACCCCTCCCCGACGGTTTCTCACTCAGGGATCGGGCGGTGAACTGGAGCTGAACGGAACTGGGAGGCACTGACTCAGTCTGTCGCCAGCATCTCAGGGTCTTCGTCTCCAGGGAAAGCAATGGTATGTGAAGGCAAAGTCCTTCGCTTAGGAAGAAGGAGGTGGGGTCGCGCTGGCGGTCCTGGTGAGGCACGGGACCCGTGGGGAGCTCTGAGTGCAAACATTCCGGACCTCCGTAGGTGCAGAGCCCTCTTAGCTGCTCAGGCCGACCTCTTTTGTCCGACGCCGCCGGCAAAGCCTTTTCAGGCACCCAGATCTGCTCTGTAGAAGCCTGGGAGGACTCCACAGATCGAGGGAGGGAGGGCAGAAAGCTTCAAAATCTCCTCTCCTACTTCACAGTACTTTCCAAACCCAATCGGCTTGCCTATTCTGCCTACCCTAGGCACTCTGCCCTCTGAAAAAATTATATCTATATTTCTATAGATATATAGATATATATCTCCACTATCATCATGAACAATTCTATCCATTGTACCTCTCTTCTCCATACAGATTTAGTGTAGGGGGTGGGTGGGTGGGTAGGCATATCTTCCCCTCCTCCTCCCACGACCTTCCCTTTTTTAAGCAATTAGAAAACCGCCAGCTCAATGAAGGAATAATAGTAGCAATAATAAGGTGGAGTGGCCGATTAGATACAAATTATCTCACAAATATTGTGTACAGCTTGTAGTAACACCGCAGACATTTAGGAACGCTATAGAAGTTTTAAAAAATGCAAAACTAGTCTATTGTAAAACAGATTTCACCTGAAATACAGCTGCTATAACCAAGGCGCTGAAAGGTTATTCAGAGGCACACATCTGTCTTCCCTCCCCCCTCCCCCATCTTACCCCACCCCCAAGTTACCCCACAGCTTGTTCTTCGAAGAGAGGAGCAACCCAACAGACCTTATTCGAAGTAAACAATATGTATTGATCTGCAGAAAAGGTTGGAGCAAACATTTCCCTGGCGGGAGGCGGCAGACTATAATGAGTTCCCTGCCTGGACTGCTTAACGCAACTGTGTATCAGCCTTGAGAAGCCTGAAGGCGTGTGAGTGTGTTTCCTTTTTAAATATAAGTTAGAATCCCCTATTTGGGGGGGGGGGTGAAAGAAAGAAAGAGAGAGAGAGAGAAAAAAATATATGGGGAGGGAGGGGGAGAGAGAGCGAGAGAAGAGCCCTATCTAGATATTTAGATATTGCTATGTCTCTAGATAGCAATAATAAAGCTGAAGTGAAATGAAGAGAGTGGGAGAGAAAGAGAATTCCGCGCTGCTCCCAGCGCGGCGGGCCGCTTTCTTGCTTCCTGCAGTCAGAGATCGTGGCAGGACGTGTCTGTTTTCACGGTGTGCGAGTAAACCTCATGTGGCTGCTGATCCCCTGGTGGAGTCATTCTTTTCTCTTTCTGTCTTCGATTACAGAACCAGACACGCACCACTTCTTTCTCCAACTGGAGGCTGTCTGCCAGCGAGGAAATCTCCTGCGCGGCAGGCTTGGGACATTTGAGGAAATGCGTTTCCAGGACGCCCTTGACACTCACCTCGATGGAGGTTCGCTTCTTGCGCTTACGGCCCTGAGCGGCGATTTTGTCAATGCTGGTCGGGCTCCCTGTGGACGAATCAGCCTCCTCCAGCCACTTGTTCAGCAGCGGCTTCAGCTTGCACATGTTCTTGAAGCTCAGCTGCAAGGCCTCGAACCTGCAGATAGTGGTCTGTGAGAACACGTTGCCGTACAGTGTGCCCAGCGCCAACCCCACGTCGGCCTGGGTGAAGCCCAACTTGATTCTTCTTTGTTTGAACTGTTTGGCGAACTGTTCCAACTCATCCGAGGTTGGTGTCTCCTCGTCCGAGTGGTCCTGGCAGTGGTGCGAGCCTAGGTCGCTGTGGTCTGGGGGATCCCGGAGCACGGGGTGTAGGCTCTGTGCAGAGGCAGAGGCTGGCGGTGGGGTGAGCCCTCCGTGCTCCAGCATGCCGCTCACTGAGAAGCCAGGCTGCGAGTACGCATTAAGAGGTTGGCCGCTGGATGTGATAGACGGGTTCGGAGCCGGGCTAGCCCCCCAGGCATTCGGATGGTTAGTGTGCGGAGAGTGGTGGGCGACATGCGGTGAGCGGTGATGGATGATCGCACCCAGCTGTAGGTCTTCGCGCCCGGGCTTCACGTCCTGCTGGTCCAGGGGGTTGGTGGCCAGTGTGGAAGACCATGGGCCTCCATCGCCCAGACTGGTCACCCAGTGATGCCCGAGAGGATGCCCATTGCTAGGAACTCCCTGCAAGTAATCACTTTGGAGAAGTTTCTGAGGGTTTCTGAAAGGACTCCCCTGCTGCATGCCCGAAGAGTCCGCATGGACTAGGGAGCTAGAACTGAGAATGCTGTAGGGATTCGAGGCAGCTGTGGCCATGGTCGATGAGGATCCCCTACTAGTTATAATGTGGCAAAGGGAGCAGCTTCAGCCTTTGACATCTACGGTGCGGGGGAGCTAAAGCCGCGAGAGCGAGTTACCGGCACGCGCTGTGGCCAATTGCAACACGTCTCGGCCTGGCCAGCCACGGGCTCGGCCAATGGCGGCACGGGAGGCCGGTCTAACTTTCCAAATTAGGCTAGCTAAGCACTAGAGTTTCAGTGAGACCAGAGCAGGAAGTAAATCAATCTTTTGGCTCCATTGGCTGCTTCGGGCTGAGTGACGGCAGTTCATTTGGTTAACCCTTCCCCCCTCCCCCCTCCCCACCTCCCCTAGACTTCATGGATGTTTGTATGGAGGGGGAAGTATAAGAGGGAAGTGTGTGTGTGCGTGCTTGGTGGGGGGGTGGATAAGGGGTGAAGTAGCAAAAATGGTTTTAGAATTCCTTTTGTATTATTTAGATTAACCGAAATAGAGAAAGAAAAAAATATATTAAGAAAACAATATAACCAGTTTAAATGTCATCTAAATGTCAGTGGATTGGGATTTTTATCAAGTTCGTTTAGCGTTCTGGCTTAGTTATGTGCAGGGCACTGCAAACCAAAATCTTGCTACAAAGTTTGAGCAAAGGAACCCCTTTTGGATAGGACCCTAAATCTGTAAGACTAAAGTCCGTGATTCCAATAAGAACTATTTTGACTTGTTTTATTTCATTTTTTCATTTATGAGAAACTCAATACCAAGATCAGAAAGCATCTAAGAAAAAGATGTCCAGCTTCTGAAAATTTTTATTTAAAGCATGAACAACTGGAAGATTCTGGGAAAATCTAATGTGATAAAAGTAAAATCGAATGTGACAAAAATCTGACAAATTTCAGTTATTGTGAAGTTTGCCTTCCAATCCAGTTGGTCAATTGGATAACTTGGTTTTTACGACCGCTCCATGTCAGCTCGCACCAGCGGTCCCACAACTTCTTTCAGAGGCAGTGCTTGCTTAAATGGACAGCCCTCCCTCACACTCACCCCAGACACTTAGAGGACCCAGTTTCAGTAGGTACAGAGGAGAGCATTCATGATTAGGGCGCCTGATGCTATACCCTAGGAAAATTGTTTTTAACATGCACTGCCCTCCTCCTCCCCATCCCAGACAAGTTGAAATAAATAGAAATCATTTAGTGTGCCCTGAAAATTCAGAGAGAGAGAAAGTGATGAGAGATGAGAGATGGCAGGCTGTTTGGCATTAAGCACCCCCACCCCCCACGCACCCATCAGCTTGAATTTGCTTTCAGCTTGGGAGGACAGGAATGTTTTCACATTTTGGTTAAGAGGAAACAAGAAAGGCTTGTACTCCTAAGCTTTTACAAGTTAGGGAAGGGCAAGTCCATGTACTTCACAGCCCTGTGCAAAGACATTGCTTGTAAGCTGAGCAAGGTGAAAATGCAAAGATTTTAGATTTGCTCTAGCTGAGAAAAAGCAGCACAGGATACCCAGCTGGATTTCTGAAGTAAAAAAAAAAGAAAAAAAAGAAATGACCTTCCATTGCATAATTTCGAAGGTAACCTAGCTGCGTAATTATATTTGCACTTACAGAAGACAGCATCAGAGTTCCCTTATTGGTTTGAAATTCCATTAAATATATTGCAAGAGCTCCTAGGTTTAGCTTGATTTAAATTTGCATACATTTTCATATATTTAGCAGAAATAAAGGAAGGCTTGCAGCTACCAGAAAGTCATTAAGGCATTAGTTTCTCTAAGAAGACAGATCTGAAGAAAGTGCAAGAAAATGAGAAAAAAATAAAAACAAGGTGAGCTTATTCTGCCATTCCTTTATATAGATAAAGAGCATGTATTTCCTGTGAAATGAGTAATTTCTTATGAGAGTAGAGAGCGATAGGAGTTTATATTGGTAAATGTAAATTGTGTCTATTAAGCAGGAAAACCAGGTGTCTGTTTAAGATCTATTTCTTTCTCTCTCTCTAAAAAAGAAAAAAAAGGATAAACACTTAGTAGTTATTGGCAGAGATGATAATTTGTCTTCCTCTCCTCCTCCTTTTCATTGAAATTGTGGTTTCGTTTGCTGGTATCCTTTTATAAAAGGTTATCTGCTTTTAACCTAGAAATTGTTTTTTTCCCCCTCTTCCTCTGCCCTCCTCCTTCCTTCCCCTTCCCTGCTCTTCTCTTTCTGTAGAAGAACGTCTTTACTTTACTGCCAACTAACTGTGTATCTTCTTTTGTAAGAATACAATCTCATTTGTGCCTGAACTTTTGCTTCCTGAAGAAAAAAATACTTGTTAAAATCAAACAAAAATGAAAGTTTTCAGGTGCTCTCTTAGGCTGCCTGTTCAAGGGTCCATTTGCTAGTTTATGTCATGTCAGTTTAGAGGTCAGAGGGAAACACATTAAAAGACCCATACCAGCAAAAAGATCATGATCATTGCCATGTTATTATAATGGTGTGTTCCCCACCCCCACCATTGCAGCTACCTTTGGGTGAAAGAGTTACTAATCTTAGTCTGGCCATTCAGGGGGTTAAGGCGATTATCAATTTTTAATGCTTTTACATGGAAAAAAAGGGGGTCCTTTTCCAATTCTGACTAGCCTGAAGTCTTATAATTAACCTTCCTCTAGCCCTTGGCCTCTACTCTGGGCAACCACTTTTGCCAGGCTTTCAAAAGTGGTTCACACCATGCCCAGAGGCTGGGGAGGGACAGCTATCCCGAGGAGGTTTCTGCATCCAGCGACAGGTTTTACACACCTTTGTTCTGTAGTCCTTTAATTTAAGAATAGCTTATGACAGGAGCAAAAACAATGTAGTCATCTTTCTTTCTTTTCCTTTTCTTTTTTTTTTCCTTTCCTTTCCTCCCTCTCCCCTCCCTTCTTCCCTCCCTTCTTTCCTTCCTTCCTTCCTTCCTTCCTTCTTTCCTTCCTTTCTTCCTTTTTAAAAAACAGTTCCCATGAATATGGATACTGCCTAATTCAGGTGCATTCCCCTCCTCTAGCAGCTGTAATATAATCTTCTCTTGTATGTAAGATGTTTTGTTTTTTGAAGAAAATATCTGCATATAGTAAAATCTTCTTGCTGCTCTAACTAATCTGCTGGAGAGGTTTCCTTCACCCTCTCCTGTCAGTCTAACTTCCCAAGTGTAACAGATGCCGCTCTCAAGCGCTCCTTTCTGTGGCTTCTCTTTATTCAGCCTTGCATATTTCTCCCCATGATCTGGGTTTCCATAGAGAGAGGAATAAAAGGGGGGACCATGGTCACAAATCCCCTGCCCCATGCAAAATAAAAGAGCCTCATTCAATAGACGACCCCGTCTGGACATGGGAGAGAAATAAGTACATGTGAAGCTACTGTTTCAAAGAGCTGGTAGCTTATTTTTCATAGACTGATTCTGCCTTAAACTCAGAGTTACCACTGATAAACTGCTCTCTTGGGTAGTTGGGCCAAATACACAGCTTGGTGTTCTTTTCATCTTGATCTTGAAGTCCACTGTGGGGTTCTCAGATCTGAATCACTCCACCCCCTCTACAATTATTGTTTGAAAATAATAATAACTGACCCACCCTATGAGGTTGGGGTAGCTAAAATCTTGAAGGGGAGTCTAACTTAAAAATGGAGGAACTATGATTTTATGGAGTCCACACACCTATCTGCAGTAAAGAAAAACAGGTTTTGATCTCTTGCTATGCTAGCATACAGCACAAACTTCATTCTTCCTTGGACTGCCTTCACACCCAAATATGTCACTCCACCCTACCCATCACTGCGCTTGTTTTCTAAGAGGGAAATTCCGTTAATTCCTGAAAGCAAGTCAGATTGGTTTGATTTGTTTGTATGTTCATTCATTTATTTGTAACCTGGGGGGTCATTGTGACTCTCCTTCCTCACAAAATTTAAGGATACATGACAACTCCTGAGTGTCTTAGCAGACATTCCTGGCCCCTTTGGAAGCAAGGAAGGACTCACAAAAGATATTAAGCAGATTAATGTGGTTTAAGTCACACTCCGTGTTAACAAGGGAGCTTGGTGGCAGCTGGGCAGTCTATGCCCAAGGTTCATTCAGAAATGGAGATTATGTATCTTGTAGATTTCATAAATGAGCGTAGATTATGAAGCATTCTCATTATCTGTACAAATTGATGGAGGGGGAGGTGGTCTGGGACTGATGTTTCAGGTGAGGGTCAGGAAGGAAGTCCAGGAGGCCAGATTTGAGTGTGTATAATACAGCATGAATTTCCAGACAGTAGAAAGTGGCACATAGGTGTGATCTCAATATTGAAAATTTCATCTTCAACACAAGTCCACTTTGGAAATAGGATTACTTACGTTGGGCTTGGAAGGGACAAGTACACACTTTCTCTTTATAACCTGGAGCTCATAAGGGAAGGGAAACAATTGGACAGCTTCTGAAAGCAACAGAGAAAGAAACCTTTTTCTTAGTGTCTGCGCTTTGAGCTTACTAGAGGTTCTCAGTCACAGCTGCCCTTCAGAGCACCAGCCTGCTGTATCTCCTCTCACAGTCCTCCTCCTCCTCCTTCTTCTTCCTCTTCCTCTTTCCCCTCCTCCTCCCCCCTCTTTCTTCCTTCTCCTTCTCCGTCTCCCTGTCCCCCTCCCGCTCCCCACCTCCTCCTTCTTCTCCTCCTTCTTCTTCTTCCTTTTATTCCTCCTCCTTTCCACCCTCCTTCTCCCCTTCCTTCTCCTCCTCCTCGTTCTTGACAAACTGTGTGGGGGAACGTAAAGGGGCTCAAAATATTCTGGGGGAGAATCTTTAAAAAATTGGACAGCATTAGCAGACATTAGCCAGTAGCAATTCAGGCTCGATTAGTTCACTTTTTTAGCTCGCTGTTGGTTTTCCTTGAACATGAGGAAAAAGATCTTAAGAGAAAAGGGGAGATGGAGTGGGGAAGAGAGATAGCAAACACTTGAATGCTGCAGCAGACACAGGATAATTTAAAAAATAAAACATTCATCATGAAAAAAAATAATACAAATACCTCAA